ACAGCTTTCACACACCTGAGAGAACGAACACCTTTCACACACCTGAGAAAACAAACACCTTTCACACACCTGAGAAAACAAATACCTTTCATACACCTGAGAAAACAAACACCTTTCAAACACCTGAGAAAACAAACACCTTTCATACAACTGAGAAAACAAGCACCTTTCACACACCTGAGAAAACAAACACCTTTCACACACCTGAGAAAACAAACACCTTTCACACACCTGAGAAAACAAACACCTTTCATAAACCTGAGAAAACAAACACCATTTACACACCTGAGAAAACAAACACCTTTCATACACCTGAGAAAACAAACACCTTTCATACAACTGAGAAAACAAGCACCTTTCACACCTGAGAAAACAAACACCTTTCACACACCTGAGAAAACAAACACCTTTCACACACCTGAGAAAACAAACACCTTTAACACACCTGAGAAAACAAACCCCTTTCACACACCTGGGAAAACAAACACCTTTCACTTACCTGAGAAAACAAACACCTTTCACACACCTGAGAAAACAAACACTTTTCACACACCTGAGAAAACCAAACACCTTTCACACACCTGAGAAAACAAACACCTTTCATACACCTGAGAAAACGAATACCTTTCATTCACCTGAGAAAACAAACACATTTCACACACCTGAGAAAACAAACACCTTTCACACACCTGAGAAAACAAACACCTTTCACACACCTGAGAAAACAAACACCTTTCATACACCTGATAAAACAAACACCTTTCACACACCTGAGAAAACAAACACCTTTCATACACCTGAGAAAACAAACACCATTCACACACCTGAGAAAACAAACACCTTTCACACACCTGAGAAAACAAACACTATTCATTCACCGAAGAAAACGAACACCTTTCACACACCTGAGAAAACAAACACCATTCCCACACCTGAGAAAACAAACACCTTTCATCCACCTGAGAACAACTTTCACACACCTTAGAAAACAAGCACCTTTCATACACCTGAGAAAACAAACACCTCTCACATACCTGAGAAAACAAACACCTTTCCCACACCTTAGAAAACAAACACCTTTCATCCACCTGAGAACACCTTTCACATACCTGAGAAAACAAGCACCTTTCACACACCTGAGAAAACAATCATTTTTCACACACCTGAGAAAACAAACACCTTTCATACACCTGAGAAAACAAACACCTCTCACATACCTGAGAAAACAAACACCTTTCACACACCTGAGAAAACAAACACCTTTCACACACTTGAGAAAACAAACGCTTTTCACACACCTGAGAAAACAAACACCTTTCACATACCTGAGAAAACTAACACCTTTCACACACCAGAGAAAACAAACACCTTTCACACACCTGAGAAAACAAACGCTTTTCACACACCTGAGAAAACAAACACCTTTCATACACCTGAGAAAATAAACACCTTTCACATACCTGAGAAAACAAACACCTTTCACACACCTGAGAAAACAAACACTATTCATACACCGGAGAAAACAAACACCTTTCACACACCTGAGAAAACAAACACCCTTCCCACACCTGAGAACACCTTTCACATACCTTAGAAAACAAGCACCTTTCACACACCTGAGAAAACAATCACTTTTCACACACCTGAGAAAACAAACACCTATCATACACCTGAGAAAACAAACACCTTTAACATACCTGAGAAAACAAACACCTTTCACAAATCTGAGAAAACAAACACCTTTTACACACCTGAGAAAACAAACACCATTTACACACCTGAGAAAACAAACACCTTTCATACACCTGAGAAAACAAACACCTTTCACACACCTGAGAAAACAAACACCTTTCACACACCTGAGAAAACAAACACCTTTCATACACCTGAGAAAACAAACACTTTACACACACCTGAGAAAACAAACACCTTTCACACACCTGAGAAAACAAACACCTTTCACACACCTGAGAAAACAAACACCTTTCACACACCTGAGAAAACAAACACCTTTCACACACCTGAGAAAACAATCACTTTTCACACACCTGAGAAAACAAACACCTTTCATACACCTGAGAAAACAAAAACCTTTCACATACCTGTGAAAACAAACACCGTTCATACACCTGAGAAAACAAACACCTTTCACACACCTGAAAAAACAAACAGATTTCCCACACCTGAGAAAAAAAACACCTTTCATCCACCTGAGAACCCCTTTCACACACCTGAGAAAACAAGCCCCTCTCATACACCTGAGAAAACAATCACTTTTCATACACCTTAGAAAACTAACACCTTTCATCCACCTGAGAACACCTTTCACACACCTGAGAGAACAAGCACCTTTCATACACCTGAAAAAACAATCACTTTTCACACACCTGAGAAAACAAACACCTTTCATACACCTGAGAAAACAAAAACCTTTCACACACCTGAGAAAACAAACACCTTTCACATACCTGAGAAAACTAACACCTTTCACCCACCTGAGAAAACAAACACCTTTCATACACCTGAGAAAACAAACCCCTTTCACACAACTGAGAAAACAAACACCTTTCTCACACCTGAGAAAACAAACACCTTTCACACACCTGAGAAAACAAACACCTTTCACACACCTGAGAAAACAAACGCCGTTCACACACCTGAGAAAACAAATACCTTTCACACACCTGAGAAAACAAACACCTTTCCCACACCTGGGAAAACAAACACCTTTCATCCACCTGAGAACACCTTTCACACACCTGAGAAAACAAGCGCCTTGCATACACCTGAGAAAACAATCACTTTTCACACACCTGAGAAAACAAACACCTTTCATACACCTGAGAAAACAAACACCTTTCACATACCTGTGAAAACAAACACCGTTCATACACCTGAGAAAACAAACACCTTTCACACACCTGAAAAAACAAACAGATTTCCCACACCTGAGAAAAAAAACACCTTTCATCCACCTGAGAACCCCTTTCACACACCTGAGAAAACAAGCCCCTCTCATACACCTGAGAAAACAATCACTTTTCACACACCTGAGAAAACAAAAAGATTTCCCACACCTGAGAAAAAAAACACCTTTCATCCACCTGAGAACCCCTTTCACACACCTGAGAAAACAAGCCCCTCTCATACACCTGAGAAAACAATCACTTTTCACACACCTGAGAAAACAAACACCTTTCACACACCTGAGAAAACAAACACCTTTCACACACCTGAAAAAATAAACACCTTTCATACACCTGAGAAAACAAACACCTTTCACACACCTGAGAAAACAAACACCTTTCACACACCTGAGAAAACAAACACCTTTCACACACCTGAGAAAACGAATACCTTTCATACACCTGAGAAAACAAACACCTTTCACACACCTGAGAAAACGAATACCTTTCATACACCTGAGAAAACAAACACCTTTCACACACCTGAGAAAACAAACCCCTTTCACACACCTGAGAAAACAAACACCTTTCCCACACCTGAGAAAACAAACACCTTTCATCCATCTGAGAACACCTTTCACACACCTGAGAAAACAAGCTCCTTCCATACACGTGAGAAAACAATCACTTTTCACACGCCTGAGAAAACAAACACCTTTCCCACACCTGAAAAAACAAACACCTTTCACACACCTGAGAAAACAAACACCTTTCACACACCTGAGAAAACAAACACCTTTCATACACCTGAGAAAACAAACACCTTTCAAACACCTGAGAAAACAAGCACTTTTTACATACCTGAGAAAACAAACACCTTTCTTACACCTGAGAAAACAAACACCTTTCACGCACCTGAGAGAACAAACAGCTTTCACACACCTGAGAGAACGAACACCTTTCACACTCCTGAGAAAACAAACACCTTTCACACACCTGAGAAAACAAATACCTTTCATACACCTGAGAAAACAAACACCTTTCATACACCTGAGAAAACAAACACCTTTCATACAACTGAGAAAACAAACACCTTTCACACACCTGAGAAAACAAACACCTTTCATACACCTGAGAAAACAAACCCCTTTCACACACCTGAGAAAAAAACACCTTTCCCACACCTGAGAAAACAAACACCTTTCATCCATCTGAGTACACCTTTCACACACCTGAGAAAACAAGCACTTTTCATACACCTGAGAAAACAATCACTTTTCACACGCCTGAGAAAACAAACACCTTTCCCACACCTGAGAAAACAAACACCTTTTACACACCTGAGAAAACAAACACCTTTCACACACCTGAGAAAACGAACACCTTTAACACACCTGAGAAAACAAACACCTTTCAAACACCTGAGAAAACGAATTCCTTTCATACACCTGAGAAAACAAACACCTTTCACACACCTGAGAAAGCAAACACCTTTCACACACCTGAGAAAAGAAACACCTTTCACACACCTGAGAAAACAAACACCTTTCACACACCTGAGAAAACAAACACCTTTCACACACCTGAGAAAACAAACACCTTTCATACACCTGAGAAAACAAACACCTTTCATACACCTGAGAAAACAAGCACTTTTTACACACCTGAGAAAACAAACACCTTTCTTACACCTAAGAAAACAAACACCTTTCACGCACCTGAGAAAACAAATCGCTTTCACACACCTGAGAGAACGAACACCTTTCACACACCTGAGAAAATAAACACCTTTCAAACACCTGAGAAAACAAATACCTTTCATACACCTGAGAAAACAAACACCTTTCATACACCTGAGAAAACAAACACCTTTCATACAACTGAGAAGTTTTCATTTCTTGTTGGCTGAGTTTTACGAAATAAACAAGAAATGTTGTTCTTTTCGAACGAACAGGTCTGGGACCGAGGTCCAACAGTTTTGGGCGTACTGGTACGCCGCAGTCCCTCATCTTTTGTTTTCTTGCTTTGCAAGCTGGTTGCCTTTTTCTGGACTCCCTTGATTTCGTCAGTCGTAGATCTACCTGCCTTTCCGTTATGCCTCCAAGGAAATCCAAGGCCCCCTCGGCAGCGCAGCTGGTACCTCCAAGGAAAAAATCCAAGGCCCCCTCGGCAGCGCAGCTGACCGTGGAGCTCAATGCAATGAGGGAGAAGTTTGAGGCGGAAAAGGAAGAGAGCGCCCTGAGAATCAGGCTCCTCGAGGGACAGCTGGAACGGGGAAATGAGTCGTCCTCGTCCAAGCGTAAACGCCGTAATGTTTCTGTGTCGTCGTCGTCTTCATCTTCTTCGTCATCATCTTCTTCATCGTCCTCGTCATCAGATTCGTCTGACTCGTCGGATGACTCCCGCCGGAAAAGAAAAACCAAAAAATTCAAAAAATCGAAGAAGTCGCGAAGATCCTCCACCTCGATGTCAGCGCGAAAGTGGAAGACAAGGTCTTATGAAGTGCAGCACGGCCTGAATGAGCAGCTGCAACGCCAACTCAAGAAGACCAGGCGGGACCTGCGGAAGCTGAAGGGTGGCCGAAGTCTCTCTAAGAGGCTCAGAAGAGGTGAGTCGTTGCTGTCTGCTAGACAAGAATGGTTGGTGGTGGCGGATGTGCATGGCCACGAGGCGGCCAGCAGGTTTCAAGAGGGGGGTGAGCTGGTCGACATCCTGTCGTCCTCCGAAAAGTCAAAAAAGCTAATCGCTGCGATTCAAAGCACGAAGCAAAGAGCCCCCACTGTTAACGTTAGGCAGCCCTTTCGTGGCAGTGCCCCAGCCACCTCGTCCAGGAGCTGGGGCAATTCCCCAATCCCCTTCACGCCGGGCGTCACAGCAACCCCTGCCCCAGCAGTTCCCCCCAGACCCCCCAGGCCTGTGTGCCACCGCTGCGGCAGCGCTGACCACTTCGTCAGATTCTGCACCCAGACCATCTCTGCCCCCGCTGCTAGAAAATAAGCCTGCTGTTGTTGCACCAATTCATTCCGATGAAGAAAGAGATGTTGATTCTTATTTGATGGAGGCTGATGGTGGGTGGGATGTGCGTGAAGTTGGTGTTCAAGATGTTCAAGTAGGTAGCCTAGCTAAATGTATGCAATTTTGGCGCATGATGGGGGCATCTAGGTTTATTCAAACCATAGTACTGCATGGATACGCACTGCCCTTCATAGAGGTCCCGCGTGCAAGAGAATTTGCAAACCACCGCAGTGCATGCGAGAATGCCGAGTTTGTTTGTGACTCGGTGGAAAGTCTGCTGAACCAGGGTTGCATTCAAGAAGTAAAAAGGGAGGATGTTGTAGTCACCAGTCCGTTAGGCGTTGTGAACAACGGCAAGAAGCTACGACTCATTGTGGACTTGAGGTATGTAAACAAGCATTTGCAAAACTTTAAGTTCAAGCTCGAGGACATGAAGGTCGTGGCAAATGTGTACTCTCAGGGAGATTATTTGGTTACGTTCGATTTGAAGAGTGGGTACCATCATATTGAAATTGCGAAGGCGTATTGGAAGTACTTAGGTTTCTCCTGGGTGGGGAAGGGGGGTGATCGCAGGTGGTTCGTTTTCCGTGTTCTCCCCTTCGGTTTATCCACTGCCCCATACATTTTCACGAAGGTAACCCGTGTCTTACTAAGACACTGGCGGAGGGACGGCATCAGATGCCAGCTTTACATGGATGACGGGTCGGGTGGGCACTCTACAGTTGAGGGTGCACAGGCAGTAGCGAAAAGATTGAAATCAGATCTAGTTCAGGCCGGATTTGTTCCAAACGAAAATAAGTGCCACTGGGAGCCCTCACAGACGGTAGAAATGCTTGGCATGGAAGTCGACATGAGGGAAGGGATCATACGGGTCACTAAGGGACGGGTGGAAAAGCTGAAGACGTTTGTAGAAAAGCTGTCACAGGTCGAATATCCAACTGCCAGACAATTGGCCAGGCTTACGGGGTATTTGCTATCTATGTCGCTGGCATTGGGCCCCGTGTGCAGGTTGAGGACGAGGTCATTTTATGCACTGATTATGAACCGTGAGTCGTGGCATGCAAAACTCAGCTGGTCTCAAATGGCGCTTCAAGATCTGGAGTTTTGGTCTGGCTCGTTTAGTCAATTTTCTTGCTGTGGCTGTCCCCCCGCAGTTGTTATTCTGTGATGAGTGTGTGTGAGTGTGTGTGTGTGTGTATGTGAGAGAGAGAGAGAGTGTGTGTGTGAGTATGTGTGCAGTACTGACGTGTGAGTGAGAAAAGAAAACAAGCACCTTTCACACACCTGAGAAAACAAACACCTTTCACACACCTGAGAAAACAAACACCTTTCACACACCTGAGAAAACAAAACCTTTCACACACCTGAGAAAACAAACACCTTTCACACACCTGAGAAAACAAAAACCTTTCACACACCTGAGAAAACAAACACCTTTCATACACCTGAGAAAACAAACACCTTTCAAACACCTGAGAAAACAAGCACTTTTTACATACGTGAGAAAACAATCACCTTTCTTACACCTGAGAAAACAAACACCTTTCAGGCACCTGTGAGAACAAACAGCTTTCACACACCTGAGAGAACGAACACCTTTCACACTCCTGAGAAAACAAACACCTTTCACACACCTGAGAAAACAAATACCTTTCATACACCTGAGAAAACAAACACCTTTCATACACCTGAGAAAACAAACACCTTTCATACAACTGAGAAAACAAACACCTTTCACACACCTGAGAAAACAAACACCTTTCATACACCTGAGAAAACAAACCCCTTTCACACACCTGAGAAAAAAACACCTTTCCCACACCTGAGAAAACAAACACCTTTCATCCATCTGAGTACACCTTTCACACACCTGAGAAAACAAGCACTTTTCATACACCTGAGACAACAATCACTTTTCACACGCCTGAGAAAACAAACACCTTTCCCACACCTGAGAAAACAAACACCTTTTACACACCTGAGAAAACAAACACCTTTCACACACCTGAGAAAACGAACACCTTTAACACACCTGAGAAAACAAACACCTTTCAAACACCTGAGAAAACGAATTCCTTTCATACACCTGAGAAAACAAACACCTTTCACACACCTGAGAAAGCAAACACCTTTCACACACCTGAGAAAAGAAACACCTTTCACACACCTGAGAAAACAAACACCTTTCACACACCTGAGAAAACAAACACCTTTCACACACCTGAGAAAACAAACACCTTTCATACACCTGAGAAAACAAACACCTTTCATACACCTGAGAAAACAAGCACTTTTTACACACCTGAGAAAACAAACACCTTTCTTACACCTGAGAAAACAAACACCTTTCACGCACCTGAGAAAACAAATCGCTTTCACACACCTGAGAGAACGAACACCTTTCACACACCTGAGAAAACAAACACCTTTCACACACCTGAGAAAACAAATACCTTTCATACACCTGAGAAAACAAACACCTTTCACACACCTGAGAAAACGAACACCTTTCACATACCTGAGAAAACAAGCACCTTTCACACACCTGAGAAAACAAACGCTTTTCATACACCTGAGAAAACAAACACCTTTCATACACCTGAGAAAACAAACACCTTTCATTTACCTGAGAAAACAAACACCTTTCACACACCTGAGAAAACAAACACCTTTCACACACCCGAGAAAACAAACGCTTTTCACACACCTGAGAAAACAAACACCTTTCACATACCTGAGAAAACTAACACCTTTCACACACCTGAGAAAACAAACACCTTTCACACACCTGAGAAAACAAACACCTTTCACACACCTGAGAAAACAAACACCTTTCACACACCTGAGAAAACAAACGCTTTTCATACACATGAGAAAACAAACACCTTTCATACACCTGAGAAAACAAACACCTTTCACATACCTGAGAAAACAAACACCTTTCACACACCTGAGAAAACAAACACCGTTCATACACCTGAGAAAACGAACACCTTTAACACACCTGAGAAAACAAGCACCCTTCCCACACCTGAGAACACCTTTCACACACCTTAGAAAACAAGCACCTTCCATACACCTGAGAAAACAATCACTTTTCACACACCTGAGAAAACCAACACCTTTAACATACCTGAGAAAACAAACACCTTTCACACACCTGAGAAAACAAACACCTTTTACACACCTGAGAAAACAAACACCATTTACACACCTGAGAAAACAAACACCTTTCATACACCTGAGAAAACAAACACCTTTCACACACCTGAGAAAACAAACAACTTTCACACACCTGAGAAAACAAACACCTTTTACACACCTGAGAAAACAAAACCTTTCACACACCTGAGAAAACAAACACCTTTCACACACCTGAGAAAACAAACACCTTTCATACACCTGAGAAAACAAACAGCTTTCAAACACCTGAGAAAACAAGCACTTTTTACATACCTGAGAAAACAAACACCTTTCTTACACCTGAGAAAACAAACACCTTTCACGCACCTGAGAGAACAAACAGCTTTCACACACCTGAGAGAACGAACACCTTTCACACACCTGAGAAAACAAACACCTTTCACACACCTGAGAAAACAAACACCTTTCCTACACCTGATAAAACAAACACCTTTCACACACCTGAGAAAACAAACACCATTCACACACCTGAGAAAACAAACACCTTTCACACACCTGAGAAAACAAACACTATTCATACACCGGAGAAAACAAACACCTTTCACACACCTGAGAAAACAAACACCCTTCCCACACCTGAGAAAACAAACACCTTTCATCCACCTGAGAACACCTTTCACACACCTTAGAAAACAAGCACCTTTCATACACCTCAGAAAACAATCATTTTTCACGAACCTGAGAAAACAAACACCTATCATACACCTGAGAAAACAAACACCTTTAACATACCTGAGAAAACAAACACCTTTCACACACCTGAGAAAACAAACACCTTTTACACACCTGAGAAAACAAACACCATTTACACACCTGAGAAAACAAACACCTTTCATACACCTGAGAAAACAAACACCTTTCACACACCTGAGAAAACAATCACCTTTCACACACCTGAGAAAACAAACACTTTACACACACCTGAGAAAACGAACACCTTTCACATACCTGAGAAAACAAGCACCTTTCACACACCTGAGAAAACAAACGCTTTTCATACACCTGAGAAAACAAACACCTTTCATACACCTGAGAAAACAAACACCTTTCATTTACCTGAGAAAACAAACACCTTTCACACACCTGAGAAAACAAACACCTTTCACACACCCGAGAAAACAAACGCTTTTCACACACCTGAGAAAACAAACACCTTTCACATACCTGAGAAAACTAACACCTTTCACACACCTGAGAAAACAAACACCTTTCACACACCTGAGAAAACAAACACCTTTCACACACCTGAGAAAACAAACACCTTTCACACACCTGAGAAAACAAACGCTTTTCATACACATGAGAAAACAAACACCTTTCATACACCTGAGAAAACAAACACCTTTCACATACCTGAGAAAACAAACACCTTTCACACACCTGAGAAAACAAACACCGTTCATACACCTGAGAAAACGAACACCTTTAACACACCTGAGAAAACAAGCACCCTTCCCACACCTGAGAACACCTTTCACACACCTTAGAAAACAAGCACCTTCCATACACCTGAGAAAACAATCACTTTTCACACACCTGAGAAAACCAACACCTTTAACATACCTGAGAAAACAAACACCTTTCACACACCTGAGAAAACAAACACCTTTTACACACCTGAGAAAACAAACACCATTTACACACCTGAGAAAACAAACACCTTTCATACACCTGAGAAAACAAACACCTTTCACACACCTGAGAAAACAAACAATTATCGCCCCTCCCCCCGAGACACACACATCATAGCACCATAGAATGGGGTTGCATTTTTGTTGTTTTTGCAATGTGATTAAGCAATCACGAGTGAAACGAGGGTTGCCTGCTGCTCCTCGTTGCTAGTCTTGAAGAAAAAAAAATCACGCCCATCTGCTGCTGCTGCTAGCTGCC